AGCCAGGAAAGTTACCGAGAGTATCGCACCTGCACGGCAAAGCCTGGCAAACTCCCCGTGACATATTCGATATGCCAAAACACAGTAAAGAGAAGTCTCACAATGGAGATGTTACTGGGCCTGCTTGAGCAAATCGATGAACAATGGGAGGACAGTGACAGGAGTACTTCACATGGGAAGCAGAAACAGGACACAAGCCATACCTTTGCCCAGTGGCCTGCCAGAGTGTAAGGCTAGTGACTTTTGAGGTTATCCCTTAGAGGGAGAAGGTTCTGTGGAAACTGGTGGTCTTCCTTCCATAAAATAAAGTGTTCTCAGGGCTGGAGCCATAGTACAGTGGGTTAGCCTTGCATACGGCCAACCTGGGTTTGATTCCCAGCTTCCCATATGGTCCCCGAGCACCACCAGGAGTAATTCCCGAATGCAGAGCCAGGAGTAACCCCTGTGCATTGCTGGGTGTGACCCCAAAAAAACAAAAAAATATACATATGAAATAAAGTGTTCTCTCCACAGGAATTCACCTTAGGAAAAATTCACTCCACCTGCTGTCAAGGCTTTTTATGCTCCCTTTTATCTGCAGCATGTCCAGACAATTGATTGATTTAATTACCCTTCTTTGCCTACAGCTATGCCTATTTTACATATTCAAATGTGCATTTGGGAAAGGTGCTGAGAAATATTACTGGTCGCTTCAGGGCGATATTCTCAGGAACTTTGAAGTCTTATCCCCAGGCCCTTCACGTGGGGATCTGGCCTTGGTACTGAGGATGGTCAGGAAAGGCAAGATGGTGCTACGTCATGTGTCCATGCTCAACATTTCTGTAAATTTCAACAAGCCCAGTAGTGCTGATTCTTCAGTTCAGGAGACTGAAGTCCTCTGTCACTATCTTGTTGTGTGACTTTGGGGGGAAAAATGCTTCATGTCTCTTAAGCCTTCATTTCTTCATTTTGAAAAGGGTAAGAAAGGTATCTCTGAACCTTGAGGGAGTTTTCAATTGGTTTTACAGAAGCCGCTTCATCAAACATCTACTTAATTTTTTTTCTGTACGTCTTAAAAAAATGAAGCATTAGTGTCCATAAGGCACATTCAGGCTTCTTACCTGCTTTTGCTAGGTGTGGATATAATTTGTAAAAGGTCTTTTCTTCACCCCTGAATCATAAAGATTCTATCTCTTCTCTTTGTGTCCCTATAATATTAGGTAATTTTCTTTCCTTTTCTTCCTCTTAATTTTGGGTCACTCCTGGTGGTGCTCAGAGGATGTGTGGTATTAAGGATCAAACCCAGACTGTCCCCATGCAAGGCATATGTTCTAGCTCTTTGAAACATATCACAACCCTAATTTTCCTTATACCATCAAGTATGTAAGGTATTTCACTTTGCTTTTATAATAACATACATACTTTTAAATCAGCGCATTGAAGTCAGGGATACTAATCGTTTCATGCTAGTCATGATGATTTGGTGAATCAGAGTAAAAATTTTCAAATAAAATTTTCAATAAATATTCTTGTATATAACCCACTATGAGTCTTGGAAAATGAAAACCAGCAATTTTACTATCAAACAGACCTAAAGCTAATCTTAGCCATGAGGGAGGAATTCACATTATCAGCTGAAGAGAGAGACAATGCTGACACAGGTACATCACCTGTTTGGGATTCTTGCCAAATAGAGCAAGCCTCGGTTTAATCAAGAAGGAGGCACTACATGAACCCAAGTCAAAAGACAGTCTAGCAAATATCTATCAGGGTTTTGGGAGAGTGTCACTGACAGGAAAGACAAAGAGAGAGAACTCATCACAAAATGAAGGAAAGGGATGTCATGACTAAATGCAACATAGAATCCAAGATTAGCCTCTGGGCCAGAAAAAGGGTGGCAATCTTCTCCACTACCACCTACTCCTGATTGCATTTAAAAGAGGTCTCTTGTAAATAGCATTATGCCAATGTTATGTCTTATATTTTGACAAATGTGCCATTATGTAAAATGTTAATGTTTTAGGAAGCTGAGTGAAGGAGACACAGGGAATTCTTTGACTTTCTATTTTGCAACTTTTTAAAAGTCTGAAATCATTTCTAATTGAGAAACGAGAACAGGAAGATGGAAAGAAAGATAGCAAAGGAGGAACAGTGGTACTTAGCCAACCTGTCCCATCTCCGGATCTTTGTTTTCTCATCTCTAGAGCAGGCTAGAAAGTCATCTGCATAAAATGAAGTAAAGCTAAGTAGCAGTGCATGGGCTAATCCTGTAAAAATTCTGGCTAAAAACTTCAGGAGGTTTCTAACGAAAAACATCTGGCTGGAAGCTACTTCCTCCCAGTCATTTGATGTGACCTTGCCCAAGGAAATAATAATGCCAGCTTTATGGTGGGGTCTCTGTCGTCAAGGAGATGGCGCCAGCTAGGCCAAACAGCTGGTGGTGGTGACGTCACCTCCAGGGCTGGCAAAAAGAAAGGCCAAAGTGAGACAGAGATGGGGCAAAGGCCCTAGTCCCTGACTATAAAAACAGGAAAATGAACTTCCCCAAGGAGCATGTCCTTTGTAGAACTGAATATATTTACAGTTTCCAGGGTAACTAAAAGTTTAACACATAATCAAGAGGCCAAATAGGGCAATGGATTCATCCGAAGTTAAGAGAACTTCTCCAAAGCAATTCTTGGTAGTTTCTGAAGGATCTCATTAGATAATGCAGCTTTTCTGAGTTTGGCATTGCCTGTTACAACTTAAGACTTGGGGAAATCCAAGGAGGTGAGGGGCGAGGGGGGAGGAAGGGGAAGGAATCCTGATGCCAGGGTGATTTGGAGAACTTGATAAAGACACAATCCAGGGGGCAGAATTATAGCCCTACAACTATATTGGCTACAGTAAGATTCACTTCACTGCCACCTTCAACAGGGGCTGGAGTGATAGCACAGTGATAGGGCGTTTGCCTTGCACGCGGCTGGCCCAGCAGAGCCAGGTTCAATTTCTCCGCCTCTCTCGGAGAGCCTGGCAAGCTACCAAGAGTATCTCGCCTGCACGGCAAAGCCTGGCAAACTACCCGGGATGTATTCAATACACCAAACACAGTAACAACAAGTCTCAACATGAAGACGTTACTGGACTTGCTGGAGCAAATCGATGAACAACAGGAGGACAGTGCTACAGTGCCACCTTCAACAATCCCCTGATCAGAAAGATAGTAGAGGGGTTAAGACATGTGCCAAGCAAGTTGAACCACTCGAGTTCAATTCCTGGCACTGAATATGGTCCCCAAGCACCACCAGAGGGCACCTGAAGCAGAGGGCCAGGAGTAGCCCCTAGCAGCCAGGACTGAGTAGCACACCTGGTGTGGTGTGCCCCCAAACCAAACCAAATCAACCATCAAAAAACCAAACCCTCAGGAGTAGAGTCTGATGAATAATACTGAGACATGGCTGTCGGCAGGGAGATTTTGCCTTTAAATCCTAAATCCTACAGTGAAGAAACAAACAAGGAAGACAAGGCTGGCCGGAGAGGGCTTCGGAGTTGGGAGGCACCTGTGCTCCTATCCCAGCACTGCCGCTTTGGGGCAGGGAGACCTAGAATAAGTCATTTGACCTCTTGTCATCTCTAAGTAAACCGTAGAGAAGAGGATTTTGCAACTTTTTAAAAGTCTGAAATCATTTCTAATTGAGAAACGAGAACAGGAAGATGGAAAGAAAGATAGCAAAAGATAGCAACCCTCTCTCGGACGAGGGGTGCTGGGGATGTAACCTGGAGCCAGGTAGCTCTTCTCTGGGGGGGCTACTCTCAAGGCAAAATGAGGGGGTGGGCCAGAGACAATACAGGGGGTAGGAGTTTGCTCTGCACACAGCAGACCCCAGTTCAATCCCCTGCATCCCACATGGTCCACCAAACACTGCCAGGAGTAATTCCTAAGGGATCCCTGAGCATCGCTGAGTGGGACCCAAAAAGCAAAAAAAAAAAAAAAAAAGGAAATGAGGGGGTGCATGCCATGTTTTTGGCACATGTGACACTCGTGAGAGATGCTTACAATGGGTAAGTCTCGAGGCAGGGAGATTGCTCAAAGCGATGGGACCCATGAAGGGCACGAGTGAGGCCAAGTTCCCTCCCCAGCCCCGAAGAACCTTCCCCACCGCTGGGTGTGACCCGGGCAGTTCTGCTGGAGCAGCACCGCATCAGTGAGCCTGATCTGGGCAACTTGTTTGGTCTTTGCTGATCACAGGGGGTCCCTAGAGAGTTACTCAATACTTGCCACCTATAGGTGAGTTGAACTGCATGACATTAAGCGCACGGTTCCGCAGCTAGCGTTTTCTCTTTTCCTCTCTCCCCTCTCCCACTCTCTCGGGGGAGGGGTGCTGGGGATGTAACCTGGAGCCAGGCAGCTCCCTCTCCCTCCCAGAGAACTTTTCTTAAGAGCCTGCGCTTGTCCACGATCCGTACTGACAGCCAAGGCGCAAAACTTTTATTTCTGTTTTATTTTGTTTTTATTTTTTGGGCCATACTTGGCGATGCTCAGGGTTCACTCCTGGGGAGGCATGGGGGCGGAGGGCGGGGAACCACATGGGGTGCTGAGTTCAAACCCACGGCAGCTCCATGCAAGGTAAATGCCCTGTCCGCTGTCCTATCAGTCCGGCCAAGAAGGCGCAAACCTTTTAGCTAACTAAGGTGCGAGGTCACTGTTTTAGAGAAGTGGGATGTGCTCCTCTAAGGATTAATGAATCACTGCGGGATTCCTTAAATCCCGCTTAAATTAACGGACCTAGACCAGCCTTCGCCCTTAACAAACATGGCGCTGGGCCCGGCCTCTACTCGTGTGCCCTTAGAAAAGATGGCGCCAGGCCGGCCTCTCGCCGGCGCTCTCCCCTCAGTCCCGCCCGGCCCCAGCGCTAGGCCTTGCCCTTCCTAAAGATGGCGGCCGCCCGCGCTGCCCTGCCCGGCCGCCGCGCCGGGCCGCTCGGCTTCAGCGCGCGCGCCTCGGCGGCCCCGCCCCGTTTCCGTAGGAAGAAGCACCGGGAAAGATGGCGCCGGCTGCGGTTTGAATTCCAGCGGCGCCGCCGGAGCCCGAACGAGACCTGGGCTGGAGGGGGCGGGACTGGGCATCGGCGCCGGCCGCCTCGGCCACGGCCCCCCGGCGCCCGCGACCACCGCGCCGCCACCGGCCGGGCCTTCCATGGCCTCCGGCCCGGACGAAGACGCCAGTCTCCCCGCGACGCGCCGCGGCTGCAGGTGGGGCCCGTCGGGGCGGGGTGGGCGCCCGGGGGGTCGCCCCGGCCGGGGCCTGCGGGGCTCTGCGAAGGGCGCTTCGGGCAGGCCCTGCGGAGGCCTTGGAGGGGGCGTCAGGGGGGCCCCTGCTGGGACCGACCTGGGGGCCCGGTGCCCCCCACCTGTGCCACCCCGCCCCTGGTATTCCGGGACATGATTTGAATGATGAGGGACAGGCGTATATATGTGTATGTGTATGTATATGTATACATGGGTATATATGTACATGTGTGTATTTTATGTGTATATGTATGTCTATGTATATATGTGTATTTTACGTGTATATATGTATGTGTGTACATGTATGTATATGCGTATATATGTTACTGGGCCCGCTCCAGTGAATCGATGAACAATGGGGTGATAGTGATAGTGATATGCATGCATATATGTATATGTATGTAAATATACATGCACACGGCACACATATGTATGTGTATATATATGTGTATGTGTATATATAAGTGTATGTGTATATATATATATATATATATATCTCACGACGACGACCATCCTGTTATTCGTTGATTGCCTCGAGCAGGCCCCAGTAACGTCTCCTTCATCCTAGCCCTGAGATTATATTCAAGGCTCTTTAGGAGAATGAGACCCATCATTGTTACAGGTATTTGGCATATTGGGTACGCCACGGGGAGTTTGCCAGACTCTGCCGTGTGGGCAGGTTACATTCGGTAAACATATATTTTATATATATTTATATATATAAAAATATAAAAAATATATAAATATATAAACATATATTTATATAATATATATAAATATATATATTTTTCTTTTAGAAAAGAGCGGCCATGGGGGGACCTCTCCGATTGTGCCATTAGTGAGGCTGGTGAGGGGCAGGGACTTTGAGGGCACCGCCTGGGTCCTTTTGGTTTGGGGGTTTGCTTTCATTATGGGGAACGTTAGTTGGCCTCTGCCAGACTTTTCCTTATGTGTGGAGCTGCGCACTGGCCATCTGGACTCAGGGACTGCAGTGCACGGGCTAAGCACCTTGACTGGAGGTGAACAGGAACAGGATTCAAATCCGGTCCTTTAACAGACTTGGGGAGTTTGGGCAAATGGCCTAGCCTGCTTTCCCGTTTGTAGTGGGGAAAGTAGTAGTAGTCTTATTCACGGCTGAGTTGGGGTGTGGAGCGAAAGCGAACTTTCCTACCCAGGAATTCGATTGGCAGGTGCAGTGTTGGGACGTGATCAGTGCTTAGAAAAATGATGGTTTCGGCAGCTGTCATTGTCACCCCTATTCTGAGTATCGCGTCTATAGTAACACAGATGGGGAACAGTTGGGGGCATATTTGGCCTCCTAGCGCACCTGTCCAGTCAGTCCACACGGCTGGTCGGACCAGGATTCTCTGTGGTAAGAAGGTGGGTAGCGCCCTATGCCCTGGAGCAGGGGACTGTACGTTAGTCCCAGGCTCTTGGCTGGGGTGGGTGGGTGGACATGGAGAAGAGCCGTGGAACGAACCCTGAGAGGCTTAGTTACGAATCCAGCTCTGCTGGGGTCAAGCTGCATCTTAGTCAGAAGATCCTAATGGAAAGGGTGACCACGTGATTTGTTATGCAAATTGGGGCGCTTTAAAGAGCGAAATGGGCACAATATTAATGCATGGAGGACAGGCATCAGTGGGTGTCCTCTTAGACAGATGTGGACAAATGGTTACTCTGCAGTCAATAACCTGCGTCAGACACGAGTCAGGCTTCTGGAGTGTCTGTCTCTTGGGTCCTTCTACTTCATTTTCCCACCGCTGCCCCAGTAGGTTGGGGTATGATCTCTCCCTTCGGAGGTATGATTTCTGTCATGAGCCTAAAAGTCCTTTATTAAAACTTGAAAGCCTTTTTTCAAATGTAAATCTGATCTTCCCAGTGTGCTGCTGTCTACCTATGACATTTCTTTGTTTTTGGCTTTGGGGTCACACCTGGATGTGCTCAGGTTTTACTCCTGGCTTGAGGATCACTTCTGGCAGGTTCAGCGGACCATTTGGGATGCTGAGAATTCAACCTGGGTCAGCCGGAGGCAAAGCAAGTGCCCCTGCCCGCTGTACTGTTGCTCAGGCCTCACCTATGACGCTTCTCCTAGCTGGCAGCATTCTCTCTTGAACAACTTTTCTTATCTCTGTGCTGCATCTGTCCTTTGAGATCCGAGTCAAGTTTGGTTTCAGTCCCAATTCTGCCATTTAATCGTTCTTTCACCTTGGACAAGAAACTTCTCTGCCGTCCTTAGTTTTCCGTCACTTGTAAAATGGGAATCTTAAAGCCCAGTCTCTGGCTCACAGTTGCAGATGAACCTCCTTCTCTCCTGTCCCAGCCTTGGCAGGGCCCAGAGGCAGCTACCTTCCTGGTGGCTGCCCTCTTACCTGCTTCAGGTTCTCTGAGGCTCCTCACCACGCTCAGGTAGTTTCTTCTTTGTTTCAGAATCTGGCCATCTACTCCCTCGCTGTCTCTGCCCACCTCCCACCCACCAACGCAGGTATGAGCTGCTTCCCCAAGCCCTTCATGGCCCAGCCAACACACTCTGTCATGAATGACTTTACCTGTTCTTTCCGACTTGCTGGGTCAGTGCTTCACTGTGTCTGCTGGCAGGGTTACCCCTCCCGTCTCCCCTTTGGCTTATTTAAAGTGATTTGATTTTCAGGAGATGTCATTACTAAGCCTTCACGGACATGCCCCCATGCCCTCCTATGCCCTCTGTCTCCATTCATAGTTACGGTGACGAATTTTAATGACTAAGCACCGCTAAATAGATAGATGTACAGATAGAATTATTTTTAGTACTATTTAAATATTTTTTAATAGTTCCATGTTATTTTCACTTGTAACTAATAAAACTGAATTGATGGAATGTTTTACACTATTTTTAATTTTTATTTTGTTGAGGATCTGGGGATCAAACCCAGGGCCTTGTAGATACAACTACTCCACTACTGAGTACATCCCCAGCCCTTGCATTCTTTTATAAATCTTACTGAATTTTTGAACTTTGGTATGTATTTTCTTCTCTTAGCACTTTTTTTTTTTTTGGCGAGGGTGTCGGGATGGGGGATTAGGCTGTGACCTGTGGTGCTCAGGGGCTTTTCCTGTCTTTGCTCAGGAGTGACCCCTGGCATTGCTTAGGAGACCATATGTTTGCCATGTGTCTATCAGGGTCAACCACATGCTTGGTAAGTGCCTTAACCACTTGTTCTATCCATCTAGTCCTTACTTATTACATCTTACTTGGATAACCACATTTTAAGTGTTCAGTTGGTGCTGGATGGTGCAGGTAGGACTTTCCACTGTTTTCCAAATTAGACAAACATCTCTTAGAGAGCAGGCCCTGGGTCTTGGATTTTGTTCATTCCCATCCCAGTTCCTGATTTGGTCTGACTTGTTTTAAGGGCTTATAGCTTAAATCACTGACTAAACCATGACCCTATGAGGGGACAAGTATTATGGGCCCTTTACAGCTGAGCATGTTGAGACTCAGAGAGGTGGCATTCCACCTCTGAGCAGTCTAGAACTGCACAAAACATGTGTGATTGAGCTTGAATATAAGCCAGGCCTACTGACTCCAGGCTTGGCTCTCAGCCTTCCCCGTTTGTTTCAACCAGTTCTGAAAGAATTCAGGCAAAACTCTTGTGCAACTGGGGGGACTTGAGCTGCCTCACCTGGAGTGGCAGGAGCGCTCTGAGAAAGATAGGTTATCCTTTAGATGGTTACAGTGGAAGAGAAAAATCCCTTGAACCAATTATCTCTTTCTGTCACAGAAAGCTGCTGAGTACTATTTTGCTTGTTCCTGTGACGTATTCGATATGCCAAACACAGTAACAAGTCTCAGGATGGAGACGTTACTGGACCCGTTCAAGCAATTCGATGAACAATGGGAGGACAATGCTACAGTGCATTTACATACCACCATTTTAAAGCTTAACTTAGAGTCTTTGTGTTTTTTTTTTCTTTTTGGGTCACACGCGGTGATGCACAGGGGTTGCTTCTGACTCTGCACTCAGGAATTACTCCTGGTGGTGCTCAGGGACCATATGGGATACATGAAATCAAACCCGGGTTGGCCGAGTAGTAGGCAAACGTCCTACCCACTGGGCTTTTGCTCCAGCTCCTTAACCTAGAGTCTTTGTCTCCAGTCTTTGTTTGAATTAGGTCAGTCAGTATCATTTTTTTCCAAACCTGATCACTTGTCAGTGCCTCAAAGGTACAGAGGCTGAATGTGAGATTTTAGCCGGGATCCTGACCTTAGGGACCTCACCCAGCCTGAAGCCCTTTGTTAAGTCCTACCTGGTGATGCCAAAAGGACCTGGGCTTTGTACTTAGGACAAGTCTGAATCCTGCTCCAGCCAGTTACTAAGTATATGGCTTGAGTAATTCATTTATCCCTTCTCAATTTCCCTTAATGGGTGAAGGTGTGAGTGGAGCAAAATGTTTATTGAAAGTACATTCTTGGGAATGCATTAACTCTTGGCTGTTTTGGTTGGTTGTACTGTGTACTGTGTTTTAGCAAAATCCTCATAAACTTGGGTCCATGTCTTTGCTTCCATGCCCACCGCGCCTCTGAGGTTCATGAACTGTGCTCACGTTGTGTGCATTGGTACAATCCCTCTCACGTGGCTGTTCCGTGTTGGCTGCCTGGTCAGGAGTGATCAAAAAGAAGTGTTTTCCTTTAAGTCAGTGTCTCTTAAAGCAGGCAATCCATTCCCTGGGGGAGCACTGGAAAGATTTGAGGTGCATTGGATAAGCCAGGGGAGCCAGGATAAATGGGGGGGGAATTCGGGGGTGGTGCTTTTTATTTTTCCCCTTCAGGTAGATCCCCTGGGGGTCACTGAGTAGTTTACTTTTTGAAAAGGGGGTGGTCAGCCAATAAGTTTAGGAACTTCAGCTTTAAGTCTTTGGTATTTTTTCAGGCAAAGGGTGCCTTCATGAATTTTTTTGTGTGTTTCTGATTATGGCTATACCCAGTG